CCGAAGAGGCGACTGGGTCTTAAGCAGTATTGTAGCCCTTAGGCTTTGGGAGCGACTCGTAGTCCACTCCTAGACTTTGCCCATGCCGAAGAGGCAACTGGGTTTTAAGTGATGAGGAAGTCTTTTATTAGTTCGTCAGTTCGTGCTTGGGCCAAACCGCCAGGTCGGCGCCCGTGCCAAGTCGTGCCAGGTCAGCGCATGTGCCAGGCTGCCAGGCCGCGCGCAGACCGCGCCAGGCCACCAAGTGGGTGCCTTAGAGCTATGAAGCGAGAGCTTCAGTTCCTAAAAGTGAGGACTTAGCTTTTTGTAGGATGAGAACTTAGCTTTTTGTAGCGTTCCCACAGACGGCACCAATTGATGTTATGATTTCTGGTCACGTATCAATTTTTTGGCTAAGTACCTCGTCAGTTGGTTCGCTTCTAGGTGGCCGATGACTCTGGCACTGAAGTGGAGCTCCCTGGTGTTGTGCAACCCGACTGCTCCCTAGAGGAGATGATCTACTCATCTTTGTAGATGGAGGGAGCTAAGGGACCTGCGAGAACTGAATCAGAGAACCCGGGGGTGTTTACCCGGCGAGGTCACTCTGATGGCTAAGTCAACACTTAGTAGTAGAGCTGAAAATGATATAAGAGAATGAGAGAGCTAGAGGGCAGGGATCACCTCATCACCTTCGCCCCTGGGGGGTGAGGTCTTTATATACTGGAGTCCTCGCGGGTTTGGTGGAGCAGTTCCTGTATTCCCGCTGTGACGGGACCTACTTTCGTGTTAGGTGGGGATAAAGCCACCAACCGGTAAGGTTGCCCATTTCCGGCTAACTCGGGGAGTGGGTGAGCTAATATAGCTGTTACAAGTCACAATCCCGTAAAATGGGGGGTACGGTGGTGAGCTCCTCAGGGTTGTCACGCGGTGGTCGTTCTAACTAGGAGGCGAGCTGCCCGTAAGTGGCGAGCTGCCTGTGCAGTGCCGAGTTGTCTAAGTTGCCAAGCTATATGAGGGTGAGCTGCCTGTGGCGAGCTGCCTGGTGGCGAGCTGCTTAGTTGTCAAGTGGCTGCACTTAGTTGTCATAATGTCATTGGAGGGCCAAATCCGCCCTCATCACTTCCCAACAACCAGAATTTGCTGCCTTCTTGCATAAAAGGGAAAGGATTTCCATAATACAGATAAAAGTAAGGGAGAAAGGGGATCACCTTGTCTCAAACCCCTTGAACTATCAAAAAACCTCGTAGATTGTCCATTTATCAAGACTGAGAATTTGGAGACCAAGAGGTTATGCAAACTTTCATCCAATTCCTCCATTTCTGCCCAAAGTTCATCTGTTGCAATACAAAATCAAGACATTTCCGGTTAACATGGTCATAAGCCTTTTCAATATCTAATTTACAAACCAATCCAAGGACTCCCTCTGTTCTTCGTGAGTCAATTAGCTCATTAGCAATAAGAACCGAGTCAAGCATCTACCTCCCTGAAACAAAAGCACTTTGATTGTTTGAGATTACACTACCTAAAACCCCTTTCATTCTCTCGGCTAATACTTTAGCCAAAATTTTGTAGAAGTTGTGAAGAAAACTAATTGGCCTAAAATCTTTAATATTCACTACCCCTTCGGTTTTTGGGATAAGGGTAATAAAGGTAGCACTAGGACTTCTTTGCAGAGAAGCATTTGAATGGAAAGCTTGGAAGGCATTCATCAAGTCTTGTTTCACTATTTCCCAACACTCTACATAGAAGCGGTTAGTGAGACCATCCAATCCTAGGGATTTATCATCTTTCAACTTGCTGATTGCAACCTTGATTTCCTCCTTCGTAAAGGGTCTCTCAAGGGAAAATTTCTGGTCTTCACTTAACTGCTTGAAAGGAAGGTTCATAGGAAGAGGTCTAAAGGTCCAATTTTCTTTATAAAGGCTCTTACAAAAAGCAGTTGCCACCCCCTTAATTTGTGCAGCTAATTCTCCAATTCTTCCCTCCCATTCCAACTTGCTGATTGAGGAAACTCTAGCCTGGGCATTGCCATTTTATGAAAGAAGCGAGTGTTCTTGTCTCCCTCCTTCAACCAAGAGACCTTAGCTCTTTGCCTCCACTTAATCCCTTCCTTAACAGTCAATTTAACAAAGTTGACTTTTGCCTGGGATCCTTTCAACCTCAACTCTTCTGATAAGGGAGCTACCTCTTCTGCTGAATCAATTTCTTCAATGATGCTCAATAAGGCTTTCTTTTATGTTTCTAAACTCAAGCTGTTCTCCAACTTCCAGATTTTTAATTTTTCTTTAATTGCTCCCAATTTTTTTTCCAAAATAAAGGAACTAGAATCCTCCACCTGAAGATCTTTCCAAACAGCTTTTAACAAAGGAATAAGTTTTTCACCTTCAAACCAAGCATTTTCAAGCTTAAACGGAGTTCTGATATTCTCCTGATTGCCACAGACAAGCTGAATTGGGATATGAGCAATCTGCCTAAAATCAGGAAAAATCAGGAAAAATCTCAATTTGAAGAAACCAGAAACCTGTCCAGTCTCACTAGAGTGGGATTGTCTTGATTATTAGTCCAGGTAAACCAACTGCCCTGAAGAGGAAGGTCCATCAACTCAAATCTGTTGATAAAATCAACAAACTGCAGAATAGCTCTTGTTCTTCTACCTCTGGCATTTTTTTCAGCAGACAAGGTAACGTTGAAATCACCTCCAATGACCCAAGGATAAGTCAAGGTGCCTCTCACCTCCATTGCCCATTGCTGACTTCGATTTCCATCTAACCTGCCCCTCCCCCAAATACTCCAGACAATGGCAGCATCCAAGCACTCCAATTTCTTTTCATGAAGTAAGACAATCTTCGAATTGAACCTCTTCAGAGAATCACATACCACCAATCTCCTCCTACCTGAACCCAAGCCTCTTACATTCCATGATAAATTTTTAAATCCATGTATACACTGCAGGATTAGATCAAACACAACCCCTCTAGATCAGGCTTTCTTAGCTCCCCTCGCAGTCCCTTCACTGTTACCTGCCTTATCATTTAGGCCCCAAGTGAGCCTCATCATCTCTCTACTTCTCTTCGAGTTTGTTCCTCCTCTCTTTGCCACAAGTTTCCCTCTCTCCATAAGAACTCTTTGTTCAACCCCCTCCAGAAATTTAATTGTTTCATCCTCCATCCCCTCTATTGAGACTCCTAAGAATTTTCCCAGTCCCAAAAGTTTCGAAGGGACCCAAGAAGAGGAGGCGGAAATATTCGAAGACTTACCTCCCTGGACTATCTAGGCGGATGCCTTGACTTTACTTTTTTTTTTTTGATGAATTTGACTTTACTATTTTTTGATTGAACAGGAACTCCATTTGGCTCTGACAAATCAGTTTTCCTCACCCCTCCTTCCTGCGACTTGAACTGATGCAGGTCTTCAACCCTTTCTTCAAACTGATCATCATTTCCTACCACAGCAATGGGTGTAGCTTCTATCAGATTTTCTTCCACACGCACCAGAGAGAGGTGTTGCACCTCCAGCCATGTAGCCTCCATGGATGAAATTATATACTTTAAGTACCAAATATAATATTTTTACTACAAGAAAAAGCTTATTCATACAGATCCTTAGGTGTTTAATTTTGATGCTTACTTCATCTGATATAGGCCAGTTTGGTTTCTTATTATGCATAAATGATTTGATCAGAATTTAATTTCTTTTCAAAGTTGTTTCTACTATAACATTTTAATAAAAAGTCATCACATCATACCATGAGAATAAACAAAATTTATCAATAACTATATTAAATCACTATACATGGATCAAATATGAGCACAAGGTTTAATTCAGAAACAATAGTATTTTATCTGGTTTTGGACCTTCTCACTAGAGCTAATCTCGTGAGAAGGGGCATTCAGCTTTTGGACCTTTCGTGCAGTCTGTGTGGGAACAATTCTGAATCTACTGACCATCTGTGTATTCACTGCCCATTCTCTTCTCAGCTGTGGAACCACTTTTTCAGCTCCATGAACTTAAGATGGACTATGCCAAGATCAGTAAAGGAGCTTTTGTGTTGCTGGAACATCAAAGGGCTTAACAAGAAAAGGAAGATAGTGTGGAAGACTATTCCTAGTTCTGTCTTATGGTCCATCTGGTCTGAGAGGAATAGTAGGCTTTTCTGTAATAAGGCCTTAAGTCCAGAAGATTTAATCCAGAAAGCTGTGGGCAAGTTAATCTCTTGGGTGTCAGTCTCTGAGTGTAGAAATTGTAATTTGTCTGTTGCTTTTCTTTCCAGTTCTTGGTGGAGTATGTAATTGCTGAGCTGATCGGTCTGCCTTTCTGGGACTGATCTCAGCTTGTATGTGCTGCTTTTATTTCAATAAATATTATGTTACCTTTTTCCAAAACAAAATAGTATTTTATCTGGTTATTCCCAAGATATAAATGAAAAACTACAAAATAATTGTATATTTTATGGTTAACTTGTCTGTACCCAGCAAAACAAATAGACAATTTTGTTGATGCTGGAAGTTCAAAATAGATTATGCAACCACCTATCATGTGATATTACATGACAAGTGTATTACTTGATCTACCTTTTCTAGTAGTTGAGGATTTAATGTATTTTCTGCAATCCATAAAATACGGCAGAGGATATGTTCAGGGTGCAATGCTCCAGCCCAAGTAACAGCTCCACTACCTCGAAGACCCAAAGTTAATAACCTGTGTCAGAATGCTGACATTAAAAAGGACCTTACAGTAAAATAAACAAATAAATGAATAATATGATGGTATAAGAAACTTGTCTGTTAAAAACACTCTCCGAGAATCTTTACATGAATATAATTCATTAGTAGAGACCACGAGAGAGATATTCTTCTTTTCCTTTTGTTTTTTTTTAGAAAATGGTAATGAGATTGTTAATACATAACAGATAATATGTACATTGGTGGATGCACAAAAGACCTTAAGAAATTCTTTTTAATAAGCAAGGATGATCTTTATTGGAGTGCAAGAAAAGAGATAAGAAAAATATGGAGATGAAAGTCCCCCACCAGAACCAAAAGATATTTAAGCTAAGAGTTTTTTTTTCATACAAAAAATCCCTTTCCAAACAGAATCCAGCAAGGCCCTCCACCAAATTCCTTTCCCAAGGGATCTATCAAATCTGAACCAGGATATATACTAAAATTATCTACTGTTGGGTAATGAGCCAAGCACCAAGACCCCTCCCTAATCTTTGACTAATTGCATTAGCTGAAAACTCTTCAATTGCCAAGGATGTTAGGCAAAACTATTTGGCAATGAAGTACCTTAAGGAGAGCTGCACCTAAGTGAATGGCAGAGGTTAATCCCATATAACAAGCACTAGTAGAAGAATATCCAAATTAATTCCTCATTTACAACCACATAATATAAATTAACTGAATAGCTTCACCTTATCCACTTGAAGATCATTCTTCCAAGTTTCAAAAGTTTCCTAATAACTTTGCATTAGTCATTTAGCTCCATAGCTGATTCAGAATGCAAGCAAGTACAAAAATGGTTCAGTAAACTTTGTTCACTTTTCTGTATTTTCTTTTTAGTTTTAGGAAGAAGGAATATTTTTGTCATATTTATTTCATTCTATGTGGGACTCAACTAAAGAATATTGTCCCTTGAGTCATGTTCTATTTGTTTTACGTTTCCATGGTCATTAGTTAAGTCTATAGGTTTAGGGGTTTTTTAATTGAGAAATAAGTAAAAGAAGTAGCTTGATCTTATTACCTTTGTAGGGCTCATTTTAAAATTATTGTTTCCTTCCAGATTTACACAGTGCTTTCTTGTCTTTTCTCTCTTCTTTTTATGTAATCTTCCTACAAATAACCTTTGACCATTGTTTATTAATTATTGACTTAAACCCTAGCTCCTAAACCACACTTGCCTTATTTAGTTACAATTATCTCAGTACAATCTCCCTTTATTCCAAGCCTTAAATCAGCTAAATTCAGAATTTCCCCTAAATCATATAACTACTGTTCATAGTCCACTTTCATCATGAGTCCTAGTAGGATGCTCACTTTTTTTTAGTAGGATGCTCACTGGACTGTCATTAATGTATTCTGAAACAAGAGGGTAAAAATGGACATAACACCAAGAAAAATAAGGCTTTTGGAACCGCCATTCAATCTTTTACGGAATTACCAAAGCAAGAAACTACAGAAGAAATCAAGTGTCCTCTTATTGCTCATTACCTGCAAGTTTCACAAAGGCACTGAGAGTCATCTAAAAACAATTGATCAACGATAGTTTCAACCAATCCTTTCATAGAGATTATATGTTTTCTTGGAACTTCATGACAGGCCAGGTTTCCAATGATTCCCAAGCTAATCTCCTGGAAAAAAAAACACAAAAAAGGTGAAACTATGGTATAGAAAAACAAGGAGATCAGTAAGCACAAGGAGTTGCTAAATGATGTATTACCGTAACCCTTGCAGATTTGGAAACAGTAAGAGTTGCTAAAAGCACTTCAAGTAAAAGATTTTCTACCTGCACTCAAATTTTGATGTTTGCTTAGGAAAAACAAACAAACAAACAAGAAGAGGAAAAACAATATTGAAATGGTGGTAGTAAAAGATTTCCTTGCAGATTTCACCAGAATGTCAAGGCTCTGTGAACTTCTCCAAATTGAGAAATTTTATATAGACAGCACATGATCAAATTTACGTCCTTTGACGCTACTAAGACATTGTTTACTTAACCATTGAGCATTAACTGCAAGCCCAAATAATCAGTTTGACATTCTAACAAAATTCAGTAGAGTCTTATTATCTTTAATCTTTACTAGAACCTTTTTCCAAGATCAATAATAAGAGGGCAAATAAGGGCTATAGTTGGTTGTTAGGATTAAAATCACAAGCAGTATTTTGAAAATTGGATCAAGTGATGGAACCAGGAAAACCAGAAATCAGGAGGGCCCCCAGTTCAATAGTTTGGGCAGTTTGGGCATTCCCATCAGATCAGGCAGTGGTTGAAACTATAAAAAACTGGACTAGAATCTTTCTGGCTTTTTTATTGGCAACAAAGTCATTCTTGTTTTCTGTATGGTCCAGTTACAAATCATTGATAACATGTATGAAATCGGAATTAACAAGAAAGGGGAATAAGAGTCAGGAAACATTTAAGAATTGGTTACCATAAATTCTGCATGAGTTCTATGTGCAGCAAGGTCCCACAAAATGCAGCCATACTCTTCCCAGGCCTCCTCACCTGCTGATTCCCCAGGTTGTTCAGAATTATGGGAGGATGTCTCATCTCCTTCATTTCGATTATCAATTCCATCAAAATCAATCCCAATATCCATCACATCAGTTCCATTTTTTGGGGAATTCAAAAATCCAGAACGAGGCATACTACTTTCTTCTATGCTACCAGTGCCTGATTCTTGCACAAAGGATTTTCTCTCATTTATTCCATGTGGAATGTTTCTGTTACTCACATCGTGTGGTATAAGTTTTCGTATCAGTGAGATGATATAGCTGGGGTCTACTGTGGTTGAGATATCAAACAACTGCAATACAAATCAGGAATAAGCATTTAATCTCATGATACAATTGAATTTTGAAGTGTTCCTAGCATCAAAATAGGCAGTCATACAGAAGAACGGTTGCTGATTTTCTAACAAACATATAAAGTTACCATCATCTGATCATCATTAAACATAAGGGATGTCTAATTTCTTGTCAATTGTTTGAACAGGAAAAACTTCCTAGAAGCAGCAGGTCATTGCCTGTAACTCCAGAGAGCTTGTCTTAGCATGGCCTGAAACTATGGCCAAGTCGGCCACAATTCATTGAGTCATGCCACTACAAAACACAACAGACTGAAAAATACTTGGCAAAGATTCAAACATGCTAGATAGACTGACTCGTCCAAATGGCATGGAGAAACTGAATCATTTACTGATTATTTAAGCTGTATGAATGCTACACAAGCAAATAGTACACAGAGTGATGAAGAAATACTAAAGTCATCCTAAATGCTACTATCAAGCAGAACCACTTACCCGAAACATTTAAAAATAAATAAAAAATAACGACCGGCTCACAGACTATATAATTGGCCATAACTCAGAAAACCAAAGCCATTCGACAATAACATCAAATAAAAATTGCAGCTAGACTGTGGAAAAATTGAAAAGAAACTCCGGGTTTATAATATTCCGACAAATTAAAATGGGTTTCTGTGTAAAAGTGAAGAACGAGCTAAGGGAGTAAGGGTTTGAATGAACAGGCCGAGTTCGCTCATTAATGCATCAAGTTCACTAAAATTACGCACCTCAGAAGAGGGGGCACAAGGGTGACAAGCTGGAGACTGGCATCTCTCTTCTTCTACTTCTTCCTTTTCATTTTCTTCTTGCGCTGATTCTGGAAGCGCCATGAGCTCGGGCTCTGTTTGAAATAAACCGCTCAAAGACAACAATATCGATTCCGGGGGGTGTTTCGGGCGAAAGGACACGATATCTTAGGCGGTGTTTGGTTTGAAGGAAAAAGGTAGGTAAAGAAAGGGAAAAAGGAAAGGAAATCTGCACAAAGGAATGAGAATGGGGCTTGGGCCACGGCCCACGGGCCTACGGCTACATCTAGCTAGTAGCTAGAGAGCCGCAGGGGCCAGGCCAGGACCAGGAGCACCGACCCACCTAGCCAGTCTTATGGAAACTGGTCAGATGAAACTTGAAAGGAATGCTGAATGAGAAGGGGGCTTGGGCCTGAAAATTTAGCATAAGCTTTAGCCCTGCCAAGACCTGTTCATGGGTCGGGTAGCCCGATGGCCTGGCCTAGCCTGGCCCGCATCCCAGCCAGACTTGGTCATGTAATTAGGCCCGTAGGCCTGACCTCGGGCCTAACACAGTAAGCCCAACTGTGTTTCGGGCCGAGCTCGGGATTTGTCAAAAAAGCCCGACTTGGCCTGAATAAGCATTATATATTTTATAAAATATATAATATGTATTTTATATATTATATATTATATAAAATATATAAATAATATAATATTTATTAAAATATATATTTATAATTTAATATATACATTTTTTATTCTTTTCTTTATAATCTCTCTCTCTCTCTCTCTCAACCGCTTCAGCAATAGCAACAGTATGGGCTAAATTTCAAGCTCAGGCCCAGGCCCGGGCTTCGGGCTTTTTATGAGGGCCGGGCTCGAGCCCAAGTTGTAGGCCCGATGGTTGAGCCGGGCTCGGGCTCGGGCTCGGGCCTTAGAAAAATCTGTTAATACAGAGTGAAAGCCTAGCCCGAGCCCGACCCGGCCCGGCCCATGAACAGAACTAGCCCTGCCAAATTGCCCATCATTGATGGCCCAGCCTCTGCTTATAATCTTATGGCCATGATTACTCTTGAATTGTTTAAGAATTGAGACGGCTCGGATATATGCATCGTAAATGTATGCCCTATTTGGCAACGTTCCTATCTATTCTTGTTCCATAACAATAATTTTATTTCTTGTTTTTCAGAAGTAATAGATACATTTGGTAAATTGTTATTCAAGAACAAATTTTTATTCTACGATAATAGAAATAGCATTTGGATAATGAAACTATTTCTTAACATAACAATTTTGTAAATCCACCCACATTAAGCCTAAAATTAACCATAAAAAACATGTGTCATTGTCATAGTAATGTCTTCATGTTGTTACCACCTAATCCTTGATCACTTGAAGATCAAAACAAAACATATAAGCAATAAAACAAAAGCCCAACATTCCATGATGCAACAACACCCGCAAGCAATAATGACACTACAAAACGATCCTTGTTTTGTTCATTGGTTCTTTTCGCACTTCAACATGTCAGCCACCATCATGATGTATGAATTGGTCTACCCAAATGAAATCATTTTTCTGTGCCTACTTAAAAAAAAAAAACCTCTATTATTAAATACCCAAAATATTTCATAACAAAAACATATAACCGATAAGAGATGTACCACTCCAATAGGGTATCGATAGAACCACCATCCACAATTTCTTTCCGATAGAATAAGTTTCGGTCATGATGGGTGTGGGAGCTTATTCCATTTGATTTTCATCAGCTTGTGCTAGTCATTATAATCAACTTTTAATTGGTATTCAACAAATAAAAAAATTTGAGAATTGAAATCAGCTTTCGGTCATGATGGGTGTGGGAACTTGTTGCATCTGATTTGCATCATCTTTTTTCAGTCATTATAATTAACTTTCAATTGGTAATCAACAAAAAAAAATTGATAACTAAAATCTCCAACAATTGAAATCAACTTTCGGTCATGATGGGTGTGAGAGCTTATTCCATCTGATTTGGATCATATTATTTCAGCCATTATAATCAACTTTCAATTGATAATAAAATATATATATTGAGATTTAAAATCCCCATCAGTTGAAATCAACTTCAGTCATGATGGGTGTGGGAGCTCTGGAATCAACAAACATCCCATTTCATTATATAGTGGAGTTCGTTTTTAGTATGAAACTTAATCTATTGAACAATAAAATATATATGTCAATAAATACCAAACTTGTTTTTTGTATAGAACTTAATCCATTGAACAAAAAAAATACATCAACAAATATCATACATGTTTTTTCTATGGAACTTAATCCATCAAACTAAAAATTTTAACCTTTGGCTTCTTTATTTGGTATCAATATTAGACTTACTTCTTTAATATGAACTGCCAATTCCCAGTAGTTTTCCTATGTTTTCATTCATATAGATATGCTAATTCCTTTATTATTTTATCTATTTTTATTTTTTTTTCAAAATTAAAACAATCATCATGCATGATATTGGTAATAGAATACATAACAAAAGACATAATAATCCAACACAAGGACAAAGGTTCATAACACATAACAAAGGACAATCGTCATGACATTCAACATATAACAAAACACAATGGTAGGATTAGAGAAGAAACCCCACCCATTCGGCACAACATATAACAAATGCAAACAAAATAATATAAAAAAAACTAACCATTTCAAATCGTATTGGTTAGAGATTGTTTAAAACTCATATTTGTAGTGGGAGCAAAAATGATTTCAGGTGAATCTGGTCAGAGAAAATGTGAGTTTAAAACAAAGCACACGATACAAAATCAAGTACGGTGACGAGACAACATACCTGTTGACACATTCCTGGTCGGAAATGTTGTCAGTGCTTTCTACTGTTTGCTCATCGTTTGGTTGGAGCCAAGGGAATCCCTCCTTCCTTTAAGATTTATAGCGGCGAATTGGAGTTCACTATTGGACGAAAAATGTTTGGTAGGGCTTCTTTCTATCATTTAGTGCGAAATGCCCAAAATCCCTCTTCTCTCATGTGGGAGTCGTTAACAGGTGTTCGTTAATAGAGTTAACATCATGGGAACCATGCATTCTTTGGGTGTTGTTCTCGCGTGAAAACACCTTTTTTCTGTTTTTCTTGTACCAAATGCGTTTATGCTCTGTGAGAACACCGGGAATGTGCAAAAATGTTCTCACATAACGTTGCCAAACAAGCCTTAGGACCCATGATGGACATATAAAAGCTGGCCTACATGGTCAATTGGGTGAACTGTGCCCCAGCCCCAAAAGGCTGAGTTTGAATATGTTGAATTGGGATATGTTCCTCATAGAGCGCTCCTCACAATGACCTTACAGTCACATCCTACGATGTACTTGAAACATCTCTTTATCAGTAATAAATATTAGTATGGGAAATGTTTCTAATGTATGGCCAAGACAATGTTATGATGTCAATGTGAGGAGGAGATCGAGACTCGAATCTACTACCCCAAAGATGTTCTAGGGAGTTCGGATGGGCTCTCCAATCTCCACAAAATTCACCCCACAATCCAAATGCACATCTAATTATGCAGTGTAGTAATCAAAATTAAGCCATTTTAGTTAAATATGACAACAGGTTAAGTTCAGCATAAATTTGGTTCAACCTCAATCTAACACAAAGTCACTCCATCCTGACATGACCCAAGTACCCAACCCAATGACCCATATATTACATCTATATCTACATATATACTAAAGTAGAGCAATGCCACGTCATGGCCAAAGCTTTCTCCCTTACCCCAACGGAGAACTCTTAGCCCCTCTTCATTTTAGCTGTACTTGCTCCATCATGAAGCCACCTCATCACTCCCTTCTCCCTCTCTCATTTTGACATCTCAGCATAATAGGCCCATCTCTCTTTCCTCTATGTTTATCCCTTTGTATACCCCTTCTTAAAACTATTTCTAATATCTCTCACTAACAAAGTCTAATATAATCTAGCCAAGTGGCACCACTACCCCCCACTTTCTCCTAAATTATCTATAATTCACATCTATCTCCTAAATTATATATAATTTAGTGGAGAGTTTATCTCCTAAATTATCTCTAATTCCTATTTGTCATATCCCCCACATTTCATCTATATCTATCAAAAGAAAGTTTGAATTAAAAATGTAAGAATTATTTAATTATAATGAAATTATGTAAAAACTTTAAAATATTCATTGAAAACACAAAAATTATCATAGATTTAATACTATTCATATTATTAATAATTTATACTTTTATGAAATTCATAAAAAAATTATGTACTGATAATATAAATTATAATTGTATGACTTATTCAACTTAAATATTATTCAAATAATAAAAACTTAAAGTTAAAAATATTATTTAAAAATTTCAATAACTAAATATTATAAATAACAAAATATTAAACATAAATAAATATTATATAAAAAATACTTAATATCGTGTAATCACTCTAAAATAATGAAAAATTTTAAATATTTTATATTTTATTTAAATATTTAAATAACTAAATATGTTAAATAACGAAAATATTTAACATAGCTAAGTTTTAAATAGTTAAAATAACTAAGTTATGTAATAAACTGAAAATTTTATTAAAAGTAGAAAATCGTTATAATAGTATAACTTATAATAATTTTATATTTTACAAAATGAATAAAAAAATTATGTATTAATTTATGCATTATGAAATTCAATAAATAAGTAATATTTAAATAACTAAATAATGATATTATTTAAATAGATAAATAATATTGTAAATAACTAATTTTAAATATTATAAAATCAATAACTAAATCTTATTTTAAATATTATTTAAAAATAAATAAAATGGATTAAATAAAGATATTATGTAATAACCTTAAAAATTGTATCAAAACACACAAAAATAATTATAATAGATTTAATAATATTTGATAATAAGAATATAAAATATAAATAATTCATTTTTATATATTATTGAAATAATGAAAAATAGATTAAATAGTTTAGAGGTATTGAAGCTTTCAAATAAAAACAATAGGTAATAACTTTAAAAAAATGTTTTTAATAGATATTAAAAACTATAATAATAATTGCAATAATTATTAATGTACTAATAATAAAAACATTATTTCACTTATATCAATTAATAATTCTAGAAAATAACTTTTAGAAAATTAGTATTTATTAATAATAATTTAAAATTTTTAATCTATATTAATTATATATTTATAAATACTAAAATTTATATTTATTGTATTTTAGAACTTAGAAGTGTTCACAGGTTGGTTTGGTTCAGTTGAATATATGTTGTTTGGCCAACCAAATTGATCTGGACAGGTTGGGGAGTTAGTCACTCGAAACCAACCAACCATTAGTGAAAACTAGCTAACTTGAGTTATATTGGTTTGGGTTAATTTTTGGTTTGGTTGGTTGGTTCAAAAGATTTAAACTTAAAAAAAATAAATTTAAAAATTATAGTAGTATTATTACTAAGGAATGGTCAATTTGGCTTTTGTTGATTTATAAATGGCCAAACCGAAATTGACTCAACCTAATTAGGTTGGGAAATTGCTAAACCAAAACCCACCAAATACTAGAAACCGACCAACTCGAATTGAGTTGGGTTGTGTTAATTGGTTTCACCAATTCGATAAACAACCTAACTAAAATTAATTATTGTTATATTCATATTATAAAATATTATTAAAAGTATATACAATATTACTAATTGTTAATTATTTAAAAAATTAAAATATAAAACAATTGTTGCACCCTTGCTTGAAATTGTTTAAACAAAGTCAGTGCATTGCACATATCCCTTCAACATACATTATAATTGATTTTTTTCTTTTTTATATTGAATCATTGTCTTTTTGCCGCTATAGGGGTCGTATTTCATTTTTTATTTTTTAAATAATATAATCACTAGCGAAGGGGCCCCTACGTTGCAGGGGCTAGTGGAATTGTGAAAGCAATTTCAATAAAATGATAAAACAAATAAAACATATAAACATCACTATATATTTATAATATAAAATTATATATAAATAACATAACACTTGCAACATTTTGTGAAGCATTAAATTATATGTATCAATCTTTTAACAAAATGAGAGGGGGAGTGTACTAAACCCTGTACCCCAAATCTTAAGAGAAGTAGCTAGGAGAAAGAAATAGAGCCCCCTCCTTTTATGATTTTGTGTCCATAGAAAACCGTCTCTTTATTTTTCTCTCCCCCAGAAATATGTTAAAGTAACAAATTTAATTTAAATAATTATATTAATATTAGTAAATTAATTAGTTAAGTCAATTAATTAATCTAAATTTAGTTGATTAAGTGATTTAACTAACTATTTATTTTAATTGAATTGTATAAAATAATTAATTAATTAGTGAATTTTAATTGAGAGGGGGAGATAAAGTGTGCCTAAGAGAAGAGGAGATAAAGAGTGTGTAGAGTACCGACGGTTGATGCTTGGACTAAGAAAGAAAGAGATGTCTATGGTTTGAAAAGTATTCAATATGAAAAAAAATGACAAGTTGGGAGTTTATTTGTAATAAAAATCTTAAACAATATATTATAATCAACATCGCATTGGATTCTTTTCTACAATTTTTTAGTATTAATTTAATTAGCAAATATAATCTAATGGCCACATCTCAGAGAGCGCTCCTCACACCGACCTCACAGCAACATCCCACCGTGTAATTGGAACATGTTGTGACTGCCTTGACCTCCTCCCTGTAGTAGGTCACAATATTTGACCGCCTCATACTCATCTTCGAATACCTGAAATGATTTATAGGAAAAGTGGATGAACAAATAGGGAAAGACGGCAACGACAAGTTCCAAGTTTCCAGCTAATTTCTATGTCAAAGATATTTTTAATCCTTAAGTGGCCCATTTAATGGATCACATTACTTATCAATCATATATAGAATGTCTTAGAGTCTCACATTACAGATTTGGCACAAATGAAGAAACAGTTGTTGCTCAAGAAGTTCATCAGTATCTAAGGCAGCAACGACAATAAACTCATAGCATGAATCTCAAGGTGATACCAAGACTTTTAAACACGGGAATAACCTAAACAAAGTAGGACATCATTGACTGGCTCATGTTGAATCTTGAATTTCAGATACATAAGTCGGTTATTTAGAAACCAGAGGAAGATTAGAAATGGAAGCAGAATGAATTGAGTCTATATTTCCTGCACTAACCAATCACTGAGTGGCAGGTGTCCAAAACTTGGTGTAAAGCTCAGTTACTCTCATATGTATGGGCTTTTTACACATATAATGGAATGCCTATCACAATGTGATTGATTAATGTAACAAGTAAAGGAATTTCAAACTCATGATTTTGATACATGATTGGTATCAGAATACAGAAGGTTTCTTGCTACTAAAGTTTTTTTAATTGTACTTTCCTGATACAGTAGGTGATCATTTAGAAACTAGAGAACCGAGGAAGGTTTAGGAATGAAAGCAATATGGTTGATCGACTCAAAAAAAAATGATGATTTTGGCTTTTGGAATTCATATCTGAATTTGAAGGTTCTTGAACCTGAGCTTTATTTCTCTAAGGTAAAGGCATAAAGTTACTCCATCTAGAGTAACATATTCTCAACATCCTCTTTGGAATGCATGGAGACAAGAGCCATTGGTCATAGGGTTTCATAAGAACAATCATCATATTGGAACAACATTTTAATTTTTACATTTTTAGCTGACATATTCCCTTATATGTCATTTATTGAAAGGCAGAGCCTTATGGATCCCCATTTGATATGAAATAGATAGAGAAAAGACAGTTAATACCATTCTTCAACACAAATAGTGCTCCTCAATTAGATGTTAATTTGTTAATATATCTCGAGAAGCAGAATAGAAAATAAAATCACTTACAAGCACTCCCTCCCTGATATCCTCCACAAGCATCTGAAACCTTGTCCCAGTTCTTGATTGCTTAGTCTTATTTCCTATTTCAGATCTCCATTTTCCTCCTTTGGAAAACAAGAGCCCAAGCTCTCTTTCAACTTCACTATAGAAAATGAAAACATCAGCTATGAATAAGATAGGATTTGTTCAGGAAAACACAACTCACAAAACCAAATTAAGCCTGCGGCTTCTTCTTGTTTTCATTGTGCATAACTGGTTTTCCCTATGGGTCAGCACATATACGAGCTTGAAGCTTCTCTCCATGGGTTTGCCTCCAATACTAGAAATAAAGAAAACAAGTTATAGATGTTAAAGTAGAAACAAAATAAACACAAATGTTTAAAATGTTTTCAGTTCCTTTATGGATCTGCATGCTAAGAGCCTGAGGCAATACTAAAATATCACCAAGAGGAAAAGTGAACCCATACTCTTCACCAGTGGGAGAAGTTGATAAAATCAACCATTACAAGGAGTCAAATAACATATCAAGCAAATGAATTTATTTATTGTTGGAGTTGTCAACACATGCTAAAGAACTGGATTTATTTGAGTGTTGTTTTTAAATGGTCACATATTAAAATTAAATAYAGCAAAGCTCATTTGCCAAAGGAAACTACAACAACATAGTATTGGGAGAAAAGGTAAATACACCAGTTTAACTGATTCAATTATAGTACTGTTAAATTCAATCAACAATAGAAGATCCAATTGGAATAGAGTACACAATACCAAAAAAGAAGGTAGTGATTGCAGGAATAATTGGTTTTGGGTTTGAATTGTTCTGGATAGGCAAGAACCGAAACCAACCAAATCATTAATCGAGACAAAATCATAGAACCGGAACTATTATAATTGGTTTGGTCGGTTTGGGTCCATTAGGTCGATCCAACCCATTGATAACCCTAATCCAGTTTCCTTTTTGCTAGTAATAATAGTTTGTTGGTAAATTATTCCTAACCAAATAAGTACTTTAAAAATAAAATATAAAAGGAGTAAATAAAAATAAATAATATATTTAATTTTATTAAATAAATAAATGTTTAGATAACGTTTTATTAAATTGAATAAAATAAATAAATGAATAAATAAAAGTTTATTGGATTGTTGAACTGTCTCCCATCTCATGCTTTGTGGGCATAAACAATCCTAGGATCAACATCTTAATTAAAAAAAAAAATTAGTATGGTATAGTATTAGCAACATATAATAATAATTAAAAAGTGAAAGAGAAGATATCCCATATACAAATTTTAATCATTGTTTAAGTATGTATGGTATAGTGCTTTTAATTTTAAAGTGAAAGGCACAAGAAAATTAAGGTGCAGGTTTTAAAAATACATAAACCTGAATTTTAAAAGAAATTATAAGTTTTGAAAGACCTATTAACTCTAAGCAAAAAACTTAAGCTCTATTTGTTTGTAGTGCAAATATGAACCGAATACAAATTTTGAACCCAATTAGGTTTTGCATTTGTTTATTTGTAACTATGATTTGTTACACCTACTAGTACAAAATCTAATTTGCACCATCATCGTCATACCTCTATTCTCTCCATACCAAATCATCTTGCTTCCTACAACACCCAAACAAAAAATTCTCATCCCATCTCCATTATCTTTCATATAAAGCAGGGACCACTTCATTTTAATTTCTATTTGTTTCTCACAAACAAATAATAAAAATTAAAATCTGAAGCAAAAAAGTAAACCAGAATTTACACTCAGCCTATTTGCACACCCATGCATTTACACCAATCCACTGCAAACAAACTGAGCCTTAAGCACAAAATATAAATTAAATTCAAATTCAGAGTGAAAGCAAACAGATGCAGAATATCAATGTGCTTCAAGCACTTGATAATCAAGTACTGTGAAACTCTCAATGTATTTGTATCTCCTACTTGCATCACCTCAAGTAACTAGTGTGATGTTAAATGTCTTGCATTTTCATTTGCACTATGCCATATTTGTAAATTAGTTTCAATCAGATTAATAGATCTCTAGATTCACAAATATGGTACAGTGTGAAATATAGTTAAGACCCAAACATGAAAAACTATTGGAACTGCCAAGTGGAATTTGTGGTACAGACTTCTTAATAGGCAAATCAAGATACATGTCGGTATTAAATTTTGAATCTAAATATCCAGGATTTAGACAACTATCAAATGCAACAAGATAATAAAATATGCAAGCTTTGTTGTGTAAGCAAAAAAAAGAATGCATATATGAGACCCTTTGACCCTCTGACATCCATACTGGCACTTAAAAGTATGAATATGTAGAATGTCTCCAAGGACACAATTGCTTTCAGTGGCATCTCCCCAAGGATATTCCACACTCCCAATGCCCATGCTTTAGCATTTTCTAAATCACCTTAGACTAATAAAGGTATCACCTTGAAATATATTTAGAACTTAGGCATTCAAGGACTCCCACATCTATCCCATAGGATCTCTTAAAGTCAACTGTAGCACAGAGTCACTGCACACCACCACCATCCCAATCAAAGAAAAAAAAAGGTAGAAAAGAAAAGAAGGCAGCTAGGAAATTTCCAATGAGTACCATTTGGCCTTAACTTCCCTATCTCCAATCTTATCAATAACAAACATGAAACATGGGTACCAATAGCCATGCACCATTGATTCATGTTACAATTTCTGGGTCTGTAAGTTTTCAAAGAATAAAATAAAAACACATTTTCTGGGTCTGTTAGGTCTCAAAGCATGAAAGTAAAGACAGATACAAAGAAATGAGGATGAACACAGCTTGTGGGTCTGTTAGTTGTCAAAGTATGAAATAAAAACACCTAAGAACCCAGGATTCCGTAAAAAATGTATAGATCTAATTATATTTTTCATTCTTAAGAAAATGGAAATAGTGTTTGCCATGTTTACATATATAACTTCGTTGCCTAATTAGCAAGCTACTCATGTACATTGCATAAATTTATATATCAATAAAACTGATACAGCTTTCTTACCTTATGCAAGACTTCAACACACCAACCACGAACCTACCTCTAAGCCCAAAGATGGAGATGTTCCCTCTTTCTCCTCAACTTAAATCTGAAAGATCACAAAACAAATAGATTAAAATAATAAACAAAAGCATCAAAATCCAAATTGTATCAGTTTGGATAAAAATAGCAAAACCAGTAATTTGACGTTAAACTCCAAAAGTACTATATTGCTGAAAACCCCAAATCCAAACTTTCACAAACAAAAGCATCAGAAAATTTAACAAAATGGAAGACATAGAGACAACAAAAGATGAAATCATGTTTCGGCCCTATATTGCTGAAGCCCCTATAAACACCCCAATCCGACTTAAACAAAGAAACCCTAAAATCATGATTTCATCTGAATACAAAACAAATGAGAACTAGAACACTATTCAATTGAACTAAAAATAAATACCACAAAGCCCTATTTTAAACAACAAATCATCCAAAACATCGGAAAAGGAACAAAAATCAAAACCGATGGTAAAATGATTGAACTATTAAAAAGTTTATTGCTTTTGTCTTTTAATAAGCTTTTGTGGAGGAGAGCTAAAAACACTTAAAAGAAAATAGTGAAATTATTATTATTACAAACTGATATAGAAATGTACAGTGCAAAATTATCACTTAAAAGAGACAAAAGCACTCCATAAGGGGGGGGGGGGGGGAGTAATTGAAACCTATATATTTATATGAGAAATGCAATGGAATTAAATCACAAATAGACACCAACCCGTAATTAATTTAACATACCATCAGTCACATAATTGACAATTTGACATGGGCGGCTGATGGATGGATTGGTGAGCCTTCAACCTCCATCTCCAACACAAACCAACCTAATGCATCCATTGGCTACTCCTAATGGCAATACAAATATCCAACTAAATTAAATCATAAATTACAAAGGTAGTGGGAATAAAGAAAACTAAGAAATATCAAAGAAAATAAAAGACATATAAATTCCAAGAAATAAAAATACCTTGTAAAAGCACAAATCAAATAAGCAACAAACAATTAAATAGAATGCCCTACAAAACACAAATCAAATAACCAAACGAGCAAGAAACAATTTAATAAACCAGAATCAAATAAGCAACAAATAATTAAATAGACAACAAATTAAGGGAAAACATGAATCATACAGAAAGAAGAAGCCCTTTTTGAAGCATAAACCTAATCATGATCCATGGATTTAACTTGAGGAACAGAAACCCCAACATGTTAAATATGTAGAAATTGCATAAACAAGGGTTAAAGCAATGACATGTGAAATAAATATACAATAGCAAAATTTCTTAAATTTCCAAACGTTCCAAAATACAAAAAACAGAGGTGAACCAAATGAAAATAGTGGTTAAAAAACTTTTTCCTGTACCTGTTTAGTAACAGATCAAAACGAATAAAACCGAGGAACATAGATGTACCATGTAGGAACCCTAGGAAAAAAACTAAACAATTGCCAAATCGGAGTACAAACTACAAAAGAAAAGTCGAAACACCAACGGAAACCAACAACAACTCTACAATAAGCGTAGCCTGCAATAGAAACCAAAAGAGACACTTTAAAAAATGGAAAACAAATTAAATCAACAAACAAAAATGCGAATGGGATTTTTTTGGTAGAACAATGGAAATTAAATAAAAAATTATAAAGATAGTGGAAATTAAATCAGAAGTTACCAAAGACATTTATTAGCAAGAAGGTCATCGTCGGGCACCAGTTCTAGTACAAGAAACAAAACTCAGAATCAGTTACAAAACCAAAAATTCAAGTCAGGAAAATTTGAAAAAAAAAAAAAAAACATGAAAAGGAAAATTTTCAAAAGAACGTAACCATATTGAGAAAACAAATAGTAATACTAAGAACCCAAATGCAACAAATTATGCGAGAAAATCCAACCAAACCCCTACAATACAAAAGCAAATAGTATTACTATCCATTACAATGGAAATCAACCTTTCCACCTCTAGAATAGAGGAAATAACGTCATCAAAAACCCCTGCAATCGGAAAACAAAGAGAACCAGCAAGATTAAGGGAAAAGCCAAAGAAACCCCTACAATCAAAAAACAAATAGTAATACTCTTCATGGCACCATAAACCCAAACCCTCAGAACAAAAATAGAGAAAATCATGAACACAAAATAAAATAAAATAAAAAACCAGACCTACCAGATTCAAAGTAGTGACAAACCCATTCGCAGTCTTTCACTTCATCAACTGAGCTAAAATAAGGGGAAAAGAGGGTTTCATTTGGAACAAAAAATAAGAAACCCGAACTACTAGACTTAGGGTTTCTTCAATGGAGAAGGCTGCTCAAGCATGCAAATAAGAAACCACAGAAAAGAAAAAAAAAAGTTGGGAAAGATAGAGGAGGAGAATGAGGGAAGTGATGAAACAAGAAGAGGGGTAGAGTGGGAAGAGGAAGCGGAGAAAGAGAGAGGGGGCAATGGGAAGATAGACAAGGAAGAGAGAGGAGAAAAGTGGAACACATGTTATTAATGAAATGCGAGCTACAGTGCGATCTACTCACACAATTGGGTTGCTCTCTCGTGCAATCATTGATCTACTCACACGAGTAGAAAAACATCCCAATTGTATTAATATATATAAGATACAATACATTTTAAACAACAATCTAACAACTCTTCTAGCCAGGAGCTAATAGTGGGACTTGAAACCGCATCATTTATTCAATATACACACCAACCGAGCCACCACTTTGTTGGTTATATATTACAATTAATAGAAACAAAACCCTTGCTTTGGAAATTAGTATCTTTGATATATATTATATAATCACCAACTGTCACTGATACATTCAGTTTTGATTTGGTAATTTTGAAAAGCCGAAAAATAATATAAAAAACCCAGGTATATTTATAATTAACTATAATAAATTATATATTATATGTTTATAATATTTATATTTATATTTATATTTATGTTATACATTGTAGATTTCTTGATTGCAATCAGAACGAATATTTCCCTGGGGACTATTGTCTAGAAATTCACAAGTAGGAAAATTAATTAAAATAAACCAACATCTAATTATCTTAACATGAAAATGCAACTAATTTAAAAATAATTTTGCACACTAGACTTTATTATTTGTCCCAACCCCTAAGTTCAATTCCGGGCAAATTATTCAACCAAACAAGGAATTAATCAACTGTAACAAAAATTTATAAATATATTAAAAAATTAGAAAATCTTTTGTTTAATCGGACGGTTGACATTTATTGCCTTAGATTGGGACCCATTTGTTGTATGCCCGCCACGAAGGTGAGCCCAGCCAATAGAGTCCTTGCTGAAAGAGAGATAGTCCAAAGATGGTGTCGACGGTGACAGATGGTAAGGCGGATGGAGAGCTCTGTGCATGCTGGACATACGTGTCCCCTGTCTCCGTAGAGGTGAGATGGTCGGGTTGCATCTGATACGTGTCTGTAAACCAACCCAACCCTACACTTGTCAAACTGATATCAACGTCTGATTCCTGCGTGTCGGCTTCATGGGATGTCATTCAGCTTTTCATCTTCGTGACTAGCAGAGTTTATAAGCATCAGAGAGCATTAACCAGTGAAGAAAACGAAAAAAACACTCAGAGGTCAAGTGGAAGCTTTTGAATCTTGACCACTTTTAGTTGAGAAAGCAATTCGAAGGCCATGGCTTCTAGGCAAGCTAAGGAGGAGAGAGCCGAGAGAGCTGCCAGAGTGGCTGCCTCCGAGCTCAAAGATGTGAGGAACCGTGACTACGACGACGAGCTCGCCGGTGCCGATTTTGATCAGGACCAGCCACAGCAGCGGCGGGGCTTGCTCGGAAGCATCCAGGAGGGCACCTCGAACGTTTTGAAGGCCGTCCAGGGAGCTGTTACCGGAAAATCTCAGGAAGCGGCCGATAGGACGAGAGAAGGCGCCGAGGCTGTGGGTGAACGCGCAAGGGAGACTAAGGATGCTGCCGGAGACCGAACAAAACAGGCTGCAGACGCTGCGGGAGACCGGGCGAGAGGGGCTAAGGATTATGTGGCTGGCAAAGCAGGTGAAACCAGAGATGCTGCTGCGGGTGTGACCCGTAAGGCAGTGGATACTGCTGCCGGTGGTGCTCAGCAGGCAAAGGATAAGATGGGTGAGTTTAGAGACTATACTGCAGAGAAGGCGAGGGAGACGAAGGACGCAACCGTGGACAGAACGGGCGATGCGGCGGACAAGGCAAGGCAGGGCAGAGATGCTGCCATGAATAAGATGGGCGAGTATAAGGACTACACGGCTGATAAAGCGAAGCAGGGGAAAGATGCGACAATGGAGAAGATGGGAGAGTACAGGGACTATACAGCTGAGAAGGCAAAGGAAGGGAAAGATTCAACAACTGGGGCGATAACCAATCTTAAGGACACTGCAGCTGGTGCAACTCGACGGGCCATGGGTTTCCTGACTGGTAGAAAAGATGATGCAAATCAGCAGGAAGCAGATACCGAGAAGACAGCCAAAGTAAGTGATGTTTTGTTTGCATTTCTGTGTTTTGTACAAATTAAGTTGATGAAGCCCGAATGACTAGATATGAAAAAACAACGATGAATAGTCCATGTGACAAATGGGGTTTTGCAGAAGAAGCTAGGAGAGGCCGAGGAGGCGGCCAGACAGAAGATAGAAGACTTGCGCCTGAGAGGTGAGGAGTACAAGAATGAGGCCGAACGAAAGGCTGCAGAGGCAAGAACCACCGCCGGTTCTAAGGCCGGAGACGTAAGAGGCACTATCGATCCTAAGGCGGGAGACGCAAGTGACAGGTGTGTTTCTGAAGCTTATATTATGCATTCTCTGTTGCTCCATTTCGAGTGTTATCGTCTTCTGTAATTCAGGTCACTGGGTTCCGCTTCTTTTTTTTTTTTTTTTCTCTGAAAATAGGGGGACGGGTTCAGCAGGGAGGGGCAACATTTTCAGCCCCATCGGAAATGTAGCAGGAGCGATAAAGGATAAGCTAATTGGTCCAAAAGAAGTGGTGAAGCATAGAACGGAGCACAGCGGCGAAGAAGGAGGTGGAGAGAGGATAAGAATAGAAGTGGAGACAGCTCCGATCGAGACCGGAGAAGCAGAAAGGCTCGCAGAAAATCGGCTGAAGGCATCGGATCAGATGGCAGGTCAGACATTCAACGATGTGGGTCCCCTGGGAGGAGAGGGGACCGGTCGTACGGATCGCCAGGGGAAGATGTGATGATCATATCAGATCAAACATGACGTTGAGTCGTCGACCTTTATGTGGGAGTGGGACTATATATATCCGAGTATTTTCTGTGTTGAGTTTTTGGGTCCTGAAATCATTTTGGGTTTCGTCTGTTTTTGTTTTCTAAAAGTTCGACAGCAATATTTTCGTTTTGTCTGAAATCTGTATAAAACAGGTTATCTGTTCTATCTATATAACCACTGTTTGGAATTATCAGTTTGCCTCTGTTGCACTCCCAGTTCCCAGTGCCAGCCAACTAACCGCGTGGTTGGCTCTTTCTACGAACCATCACAAGAGATACAATGAGGCGATACGAATCTTGACAGGTGGCAAGATTGTGCTTGACGTACGCGTCCTTTTTAAGAGCCACGCGTTTTTGAGTGACCTTTTGTATGACTTGGAAAATGGTATTGCCACGTGGCTTTATTTTGGTACAAAATGAAAGAACGCTACGCCAAATGGGACTGGCTACGTTGTGTTTCGGGGCACTTGCCAAATTGGCCAATAATTTCGCGGTTCCAATAATTTCCCCTACACTTGCTGAGTGCCTGAGTGTAGGGGTGCAAGTGCAACTTGGACCAGGTCTGAGCGGGTTAAAGCCAACCCAAGCCATAACCCGACCCAACACTCCCTTCAAGGCCTCAACTCAGTGAACCCAACAAAAAATAATAATTTTTTGTGATTTTTTTCGTTAAAATTAAAATTAGATAAATATTTAATTGCTATATCAAGTATTTGTATGATTGCATAAAATTAACAAAATTTTATTTGGAACTTATTCTTCTATTTTTTATTGCATTTTGTTAATAAAATATAATACTTAACTGTTTTTTAGTTTAATTTATTAATAATAAATATAATGTCGGATTCAAATCCAGTTTGGTGTGACATGAATCCAATTCGTTTAAGCTCTAAAAAGAAAACAAACAGATTCTCTATCATCATCAGAACGGAATCAATGCAGATCGGAAAAAGACACGTGGCATCGTCATGTTGATCCTTTTTATTCCAAATTCTCCATACCAACCAAGTGTTTGGTTTTCGGTGAATCTGGAATATGTTTCACCTCACCATGATTTAAACCCTAGATAAAGGAAGTTGTTACTTGTTGGCATCTAATTGATTCCAGATCCAAAGGGTGAATCTGGAATATGCTTCACCATGACGCTAGATACGTATCGGCCGTATCGTTTCGGGATGTGTATCGGGGTAAAAAGTATCGAAACGCCCGATACGCCGGGTATCGATAGTGTCCTGTAAATACCATTTGGACGGTGATAAATGTTTTCACTTTTCTATTGCATATCTACCTTTCGTTCTTGAACGTACAAAACTACCATGAGCAGACGGATTTGGAGCCAGAATTAATTTGTTAATTATTTTTTTCACAAAAAATGTTAATTAATCTAATTTTATAAATGACCAATAAAAAAGAGATTATTTTATATTATCGGTTCAAGAAACGGAAATCTCCACGCTATCGATCGATCGACCGACCAGTGTAGTGTAAGCTCTTACCTTTACATAAGCGAGCAACTCAGTTGCAGAGAAGCTCCAGCGCTCGACATGGCCCTCTCCCCTTCGCATCTCCATCTGCAACTCCCCTCTGTTTCTTCTTCATCTTCATCTTCATCTTCTTCAGAAACTCAATTGTTGCTCTTCTCGGACTTCGCTAGTTCCCGTTTTATCCGATCATTGTCGTTTTCACCATCTCTTCCTTATATTTCGTTTCGGAGGAGCAGCGACGCTGTGTTTCCTGTCACAGCGAGGCTGTCGTACAGAGTTAGAAGCTTGACAAAATCGACAGAGGAGGCGTGCAGCGAGGGCGAAACCATCACCAGTGAAGGCGAGGATGAGTGGAGGGATGACGGCAAGGTTGAGCTCAAGAATTCCAACGATAACGGGTCTCCTGTCACTTCGACTTCCCAAGTCAACTCACAGAGGTGGTTAACGTCCTCTAGTGATGCTCTTTCTCTGGGAATTAGGGAGCCGGTGTATGAGGTACGTTTAGCGATTGAATTGCATTGCATCTCTATCAATCTTCCTCTCACGTTGTTAATTGGTGCATTTTTACTGGGAATTTTAGTTATTTGGGAGTTAATTCTGTTTCTGTTTTAGAATTGCAAGTCTGGTTTCTTAATGTACTTGATTATTCGAGTAGGAATGCAAGCTTTTCTCTTGGAAAGGAAGTTAGGATATCTATGTCAAGATGTTGCAAAATTTCAATGTTTTTCCCCCTTTAGTTTAGATGACATGGGGAATGTATCATTCCTTATCATCGTTATCCTTTGGTTAGAGGGAGTTGAAGAAACCTTTGGAAACAAACAAAGACTTACAGGGGTGTAACCGTATAAGTTGCTGATCCGTATATTAGGGATGGATGGATGCAATTATTGTTAACTGAATTAGTGTAAATGGGTTTAAAGGCCTGGGTTTATCACTTTTACCTGAAGTTATTTGATCAGAGGTATCAATTCTTACCAAGCATGTCGAGAACCAGCTGAGATAGCAATTCCTAGTAAGGGTTGGATTAAAGAGTCTACCTAAGATGAACCCCCCCCCCCCCCCAAATGATCACCATCTGAGCGAATATTAAATCATTGTGATTATTGTTAGCAGAACGTGACAAAAGAAAATTGGGACTAATTGTGCCAATGCTGCAAGGATGAAGACCAAAAAGGAGAGTGGCTAGTTTAGGTGCAGTCTCGGCATAAAATGAGGTCAAAGAAAAAAGTGCATTATATATATATATATATATATCATACGTGTGTGTTCCTTTTTGGAACCATCAAAAGAATGCATGCCGTGGCCTTCTCTCCTGCTTTTCTCATTGCACTGTGCTACACATCTCGGAGTTGTATCAAATTGGCTCATCAGCTGGCCAAGTTTTCTTTCAAGCACAATTTGTCCAGGACCTGGGTAACACATCCATCTTTTGTCACGTTGTTAATCTCCTCAGAGATGTAATCTTGTTACTTGTTGAATGGATTTGCCTTTGGGCATAAAAAAAAAAAGTGCTTTTAGATGTTGAAATTTCTACTGAAACCAAAAAGGGAGAAGTCATTGCTTAATTATCTACTCTATGAAGTCTTAAGTTTATAAAAAAACAAGGCCCGGTAGTGAGGATCCACTCGGGTGTTCTTAGCATTGTATTTCTGGCTATTCCTAAGTGCTTGCCACAGGCAGGTTCACTGAGTGATGATCAGGTTTGAAGCCTTTTTTTTTAACAGGGATCTATCCTGTACTTTCAAATTCCAACACTCAAGTCCAAGTCTGTTAACTTACGTTGTAGTGAGGGTAAATTTACCAAAATGCCCATTTGTGGTTTGTCTGCATCATACATGTATTAGTTTCAGCATGTACTTTTTATACCTTATTCTTCATATATTCTTAAGTTTATTTATGAGCACAAGCAAGCTTATTCTCTATTTTGCTTTAGTGTTTTGTTCATTACGTGTTAGAAAGAAGATAAGAAAGGTTAAGAACTAGGGTTTTAGAGACTTAAGAAGGAGAGGGCAGAACAATCTCAAAAAATTATGCAAAGGGTATTTTTTGGGATTTCAAAATGGTTAAATATACATATCAGTGTTTTAAAAGTGCAAGGCACAAAAAAGGCGCAAGGGCCATTTTGCGCCTGAGGCGCAAGGCGCAAGGCGAGGCGCGCGCCTTTTTGAGGCAAGGCACACAATTAAAAAAAAAAAAGCTAAAAATTCAAAAAAGTAAAAAAATGTTTGTTTTTTTGTTTTGTTTTTTGTTTTTTTGGGAGGATCAGCTTTTGAAGGATTGTTCTTTAGCAGTTGGAATAATGCTGATGAGTCAGGTCTTTTCCAGGTCAGGGTAGACCTGGTCCTGATCTGATAAATAAGATTGCAAAACCAGTCCTTCAAAAATAAGAGTGCAGTATATTTACAAGTTACAGATCCAGAACCAACCCAATTATTAATTGGAACTATTGGCTCGACCTGATTGTAGTTGTCAGCTATACTTTTAACCTGTAATTTGTAAATAAAAATATTTTATTTTAAATCAACACATTTGGGCACCATAATATGATAATATTATAGGTATATCGTGAGAAAAATAGGTATTATGGGGGATATCTTTGTAATATGCTAATGTATTGGGTCTTAATTGATTCAAAACAACCAAACTGATCTCGACCCAATTATAATCAGTACACATAATGCAGAGTCAGACCCTATATAATTAATTGGGTCAATTAAGTTTGGTTCTGTTAGGTCTGCCCAACCCACTGACATCTTTAAGTTGGAATAGCATCTTTTATTTGGAACCTTATTGTTGATGTGTCTGTGAGGGATTTGCATATCTGAGGTGTATAGGCTTTTTGGAGGGATGGTGATAAGATTCTATTTTGTATTTTTCTTGTACATTTTCTCTTAGCCAACCCCATATAGTTGGGATAAGGCTTAGATGATGATGATGATAATGATTTCTCTTCTGTACACAACTTCTATACCATTTTTATTTAAATCAACTTGCCTAATTATATTACTAAATACTGATGAAGAAAAAGAAAAAAAATGTCAGTTCCTAATGTTGGTCCTAGCTATCCAGGTCTTGGAGGCGTGGGACTGTGGGACTGGATACATACCCAATCTCTGGCATCTATTACATGAAGTGGCCACTGTCAGACTTGAGCCTACGTTTTCATGCGTATCAGCCCAAGATTTTACCTTCTTTCCAAGCAATGGCAATACAATATAGTGACCATGAGAGTTAAAATGAAATGTCCATGTATCAACTTTAGGGTGAGACTATTAGATGTCGCACTTAAGTTTCTATTAATTGGGAAGGACAGTTTTTCTCACAATTTTATGTTGATACTTCTACTCAATCTTTCTAGTCTATTTTTATTTTTAATGGCTCTAAATGTTTATTTATGGATAAAATCATTATAATGTCTTCAGGTGGTAGAAGTGAAGTCAGATGGATTAGTATCAACCAGAAAAATTAACCGGCGACAATTATTGAAGTCAAGTGGTGAGTGATAAATAACTGAAAACTTGCAGAAAATGATCTCTTTTACACTTATATTAGAACTATCATGTGGATCAAATACTTGTACCGTATAAGTTCTGTAATTATTTTTACACACGTTAGCTACTTGCATTAGAATCATGACTTCCTTGAGTCCATCTGATATTCTGATACATCTGCATAGTTAATATAGGGAAAGTTCATGATGGAGATTTGAATGGTGAATGATCCTAGTGCATTAAGGATTCATCATACATTTTCAAATTCTTTAGAAAAATTTTCTAGCAAAAAAAAGTTCTTAACAAAAAATTCACTGCACTATTTGCTCTTTTCTACTAATAATGTCCAGACTAATGTTTTCCTGATTTATATGTACTATAAATGGCTGGAATCCATGAAATATGTGTTTTTTTTCCTATTTTCTCCTAATGATATTTGCAATATTAGGTCTTCGACCTCGAGACGTGCGTAGTGTTGATCCGTCCTTGTGGATGACAAACTCAATGCCCTCTTTGCTGGTAATATGATCACTTTCTGTTGATCTTTTTCTCTGATTTTTGTATATTAAAATCTTCCGTGGAAAGTATTTCCAATTGATGCAAATCTTATTGAGTATATATGAAATCTGTTGTAGCCTGAAAGCAAGTTATAAATATGCTTTTGAGAAATATCTGTAGAATATCAAACATGCTATTAACCTTGTTTCTATGAACTAGACTCCCTTCATCTCTACAACACAAATTGGGAAAGTGTTGATAAAATCAGATTTGTCCAATCATTATGTTTGCACTTTCTTATGCTCACAATTTATGAACATGTTAAGCGGTCAATGCGAGGGACCTTAGTTTTACAGGTCCTAAACAAACAATAGTTCATGACGAGGTGTCTTGGGGTGGAAGCAATGATGCTTAAACTACCTGAGAGGTAAAGAAATAGGCATTTTGGTGACTATTTTGAGCTAGTAATTATGCTTTGCTCAAAGCCAAAATTATGGTGTTCATATTACCTTTCAGTCAAAAGGTATTTATTAGTAGGCAGTATGCTTTTCCCTGCCTCTTTATGTGTTTGTCTGATTTCTTTTTCTCTTTACCTTTTTCTTTCTGTGTGTGATTTGGAGATGAATTGATCAAATTGGTTTCTCAAGTTCTTAACTACATTTAGGGGGCAAGATGATATTCATTGGAACAACTAACAGCTAAAGCAGTATTTTAAAATTCCTCATAATATAAATGTATTTAGGGCATTGTGGTTGCTTGGTCCTGTGTTTATTATTTCCCAATTTTGCTGGAAACATCATGTAATTTTCCTGATGTCCCAAGTTTTTGATGGAGCATCTGTCAAAATTAAGCTTTGTAGTATCTAAAAAATTTGATTCGTGATTGGGAACGTGGATGTCCTTGGCAGAGTCAGAGTTTTCTGTCTGATTCATTTGGTGGTGTCACTGCTTTTCTGAGTAGGGTAGAGAAGCCCCCAAGGTCTGTTAATTAAATATTGGGATCTCAAGGCTTTGATATGAAGTAAAGGGCAGCCCAGTGCATGAGGTTCCCACCAATGTGGGGTCTAGGGAGTGACAAATGTACGCAGCCTTACCCCTGCACATACAGAGATGCTGTTTCCAAGATTTGAACCCTGGTCACCCAGGTTGAAATGGAGCCCAACCATTGCACCAAGGCCCACCCTCGCTTTGATGTGAAGTAATAAGAGTTATTATTGATTAGAGTCTAGAGAAGGTTGGAGGGTTGGGTATAGTAATGTTGGTGGAACACATTAAGTTGTGTAATCATGACTTTATCTTCTTAGGTGTATTCAGATGGATGAAAGATGGGAAATTTGCATCCATTTCAAGGGCAAAGAGATAGTAGACCATGTTCTTCCTTCATCCACTTGAATCACCATTAGTTAAGACGAGTGGGATCTTATGTTAAGGAGTAAGGGAGACATTGAGACCAGTAAGATATTGTCATGGATATGGATATGGGAAACAGGGATACTGCTTTTCAGTCTAAATTTGCCTTTTAGAAAAAGAAAAGGAAAATGAATACTGTTTCCTACAGTTACAATTCCCTTACTTCATTCAGGTAGTGAGATAGCCACAAAGGCTTGTTTCCTACAGTATGGCACCATCAAACTACGTTGTGTGAATCTCTCTCAGTTTTCATCTCTTGAAATTTGGGATACCTATAGGTATGGAGTATCATGTCTAATATGATAATACCATATTTTGTATTTGGTTTTTAAGTTGAGTATCATAAACTAAGTGTCATTTTTCAGTAATTATATCTTGGCAACTTCGGAGAGACTTCTAATGCCTACAGATATTTTATAGCATGAATTGTTAAAATGTGCATTTGTTTATATTTTGTATCTTCATGTTATACTCTAATGGTGTCCATGTGGTACCTACTTTCCCTCATTTTATCACCTGTTGGAACTACTCCTAGATTCCTTTAAACAAGTTCATTTGTGATTCTATCCTTTCTAGTTTTCCTCTCATCCCTCTCAACATTCACATGTCTGCCACACTCATTTTCTGGATATACTGTTTCTTTACTTCCCAAGACTCTGCTCTATACAACATTTCTGGCCTTATAACCATTTTATAATTTTTTTCCTTTTAGCCTAAGTGGTATTGTCCTATCACGTGAGACTCTTGTTGCATCACTCCATTTTGCCCATCTTGCACTAATTCTATGGGTGGTAATGTGGCATCCTCTATTTTTTTTTTATGTTGATTATTGTTTTGGAGCAACTACAGTAATCCGAACCAGTGAAGAAAGAAGAAGAAGATGAAGAAGAAGACAAGAGAAAGAGAGAACAGGAGGGTTTAGTCGAAACTGATTAGTCACCCATTCAGTCGACCCCCTTATGTTTATTAGGTTCTAATTACACTTACAAAGACTAAACTGCCCGGGGCAGAGTGCTCTAATAAAACAGCCACATAAGCAAAGTACTTAAC